TCTGCTACCTTAATACTAAACCTATAAATGTAGGCTCATAGATCTATTTCCCCATCCTCATATAATATATTTGTATATGTACATGTCTTTATCTGAAAAGCACTATTTTAATGCTGATAAATTTTCCCATCCTGAGTTACAACCAATTTAGAGGGGGAAAAAATTTCAGGCTATTTGAAGTTATCACGTTTGTTTCTAATATAAGTTGGACTGGATGATGTAACAAAGATGGCAAATAATAAAATCTAAGACCAGGGGAGGGAATGGGTTAAAGCCTAAATTCTGAACACTTAGTTTGCAGAAGGCTATGGATGAGAGTGAAAGCCCATAATCCATTTTCAAATTTCCCATGTGGATACAGCCTCTTTTGAATTCCCATGGAGCAGGAATGTGAATGTTCTTGGCCAGAGACATAATACATTGGAAAGTGGATTACTGTAAATACAGTTAGGTTAAAATGTAACATCTTACAATTGGTTTTCCCTTTTGCCCCATTTTTTAAATTAAATACTTTTATTGGGGGTTCTTACATCTCATCACAATCTAAGCATTCATCTAGTGTTTCAAGCACATTTGCACATATGCTGCCATCATTATTTTCAAAGCATTCTCTTCCCACTTAAGCCCCTGATATCAGCTCCCCATTTCTTCCCCCTCCCACACCCTCCCTCCCTTATGAACCCTTGATCAGTTATAGATTATTATTTTAGTATCTTACATCATCCTCTGTCACCCCTCACCCACTTTCCCGTTGTTCGTCCCCCTAGGTTTATTCCTAAGTACTTCAGCTCCTGAATGGGTAATGTGAAGGGCATCATTTCCTTGATATCTTTTTTGGTATTCTTATCACTGGTATATAGGAACCCAATTGATTTCTACTTGTTAATCTTGTGTCCTGCTACAGTACCAAACTCCTCTATTTTTTCCCAGTAATCCTGTTGTGGAAATACTGGGATTCTCAATATATAAAATCATATTATCTGTAAATAGTGAAAGTTGCACTTCTTGTTTACCCAGTTGTACTCCCTTGATCTCTTGCCATTGTCTTATGGCAATGGCTAGGACTTCCAACACATTATTGAATAAAAGTAGGGATAAGGGACATCCTTGTCAGGATCCCTTGTTCAGTGGAAATGTTTTTAGCTTTTCTCTATGGAGTATAATATTGGCTGTTGGTTTTTCATATACGGCCTTTATCGTATTGAGAATTTCCCCTCCAATCCTACATTCTTGAGAGTTTTTATTAGGAATGGATGTTGGATATTATCAAATGTTTTTTTCTGCATCAATTGATATGATCATATGGTTCTTGTCCTTTTTCTTCTTACTATGGTGGATTATGTTAATTGTTTTTCGAATGCTGAAATTTTCCGGCTTTCCTGGTATGAATCCCACTTGGTCATGATGTATTATTTTTTTGATGTTGTTGGATTCTATTGGCCAAGATTTTGTTGGGGATTTTTGCATCTATGTTCATGTAGTTCTCTATCCTTTTATGGTCTTTTCCCAGGTTTTGAATCAGGTTTATTATGCTGGCTTCATATAATGAGTTTGGGAGTGTGCTGTCCCTTTCTATGATCTGGTGGAGTTTATGAATGATTGGTAGAATTCTCCTGTGAATCCAACTGGACCAGGGCATTTTTTAGTTGGGAGTTTCTTGATTACCTTATCTACTTCTTCTTTTGCTATGGGTCTGTTCAAACTCTTAATGTCCATATGCCATATTTAGGGAGAGTGGTTTTCTATATATTTGTCCATGTCCTTCAAGTTATTGAATTT